AATTTGTGCTGAATCATATCCCCCCCATGCAGAAGAAATGAACTACATTATCAATAAGAACAACAAATTTGAATAATCCGAGAGTTCAGTGACTTTCCTTGTCCCTTTCCCATTTAACTCCTTCATTGAGCCCATTTCCTTTATCACATACCCCTGCCCCCTGTCTGCCTGTGTGGATTTCTCCCCACCCAGTCCTATGTCCAAATTTCCCTCTATCACCTTCATTTGGGGTCCTTTCATTGGGCACTGGCAGCTGGGCAGTGCCCTTGTAACTTTTCTTTCTTCAATTTAACTCCAGTTCTATGGCTTTGCTTCTGACAACCTGGTCTTCCTTTCTGAGAGCCTTCCCGTCCCCTCCTCTGCCCCAGCCATGTCCCAGCCAATCAAGACCATGCCCATGCCCCCTCTAACTGGCAATCGTAGGCGTGGGTCGCATATGAGGCCCTCATCAGCTCCACTCAGTCATTTTGAGAACCTCCGTGGAAGTTCAGCGGGGAGTGGAACTTCCTTCCACCCCCTGCTGCAGGGCTGATTGGCAGCCAGCAGGGCTGGGAGGGGAGCAGCTCGCAGCTGATTGTTTGCTGCTGGGCAGGGAGGGCTTCCTGGCAGCAGAGAGTGAGCAGGGCACTCAGGGGGCTGAGAGACGGGATGCTCTGGGAACCTGATCAGAAAGAACCCCCAGTCTGTCTGGTGTCTGTCTGTCTGGCCACCATACGGAAAATGATGTATGAGGTCCTTGGCTGAGAGTCCCCCAGGTAGGAGGCTGAAAGGGGGGGATTATGTTACAGACTGAAGTGATGGCCCAGGGGACCTAGGGGACCACAGGTCTCAGGCCCTGCAGAGGCTTGGCTGCCAGGCAGGAACAAAGGAAGGCGGTTAGCAATCAGGTCATGGGGCTGCTCTGGGACTCGTCAAAGTGGCTCTTCCTGGATGAGAGCAAGAACTCGGGACCTTGGCTCATGTCAAAGACAAAGCTGACGCACACCTACCCGAGTATGGGGAGAAACACAGACCATTCTAAAGCACTGTCATTAAGAATCATTTTCATCCCAAGCTCTTCCAATCGAGTTTCTTAACTCAGGCAGGGGAAAGGAGGGCGGCGTGAACAGTGCCCCAGTTCTATGGTTCCAAGAAAAACAGAGCCAAAGACTCCACTGGAGATTTGCTTCAGTCCCTGGAATGAGAACCCTGACACTTCTGCCTCGACAGCTAGAATTTGAACTGAAACCACTGTCTAGAGAATTTGTCTAGAAAGCTTTAGGGTTTTCCCGTGCATCTGGGGCTCTTGGGGTCTGGGCAAAGTCAACTTGGAAGTCAGTAGATGACCAGTAAAGAGAAACGATCAGTTTCTTTCTTTCCCAGCTCTCCAGAGAGCTTCCGGTTTTGTCTGGTGGTGTTTTTGTTTTTTTTTATCAGCAGTTGCTTTGTTCAATTTCCTAGATGAAATTATTTTGGAGCTTCCGCCTCTAAAACCCATCTCAAACTTTGAAAAGTGAAAAGCACCACTCACAAGCACAGGGGCACTTTCTTCTAACATTCTACGAGCATATAAATAAATAAATAGAACTGGCCCTGGGGCTGTGAAGTTATATGGCAATATTGGGTCCCTCGAGAATTTTACATCAGCTGCAGGGGTGAGAAAATAGAGGGAAAACTCATGTCTCAACAGTTAGTGCTTGGCTGGTAAATTTCAGACAATGACACCTGGTTTTAACCTGGCCCTGTACAAATGAACTGTCGGCAGAACCGTTAAATCCTGCTTCTGTCAGAGGGAAGGGTAGTGGTGAGTGGCTTATGTTTTTTTTTTTTTCTCTGGGAAAAGTTAACCACAATATAATTAGCTTTGTTTTTGTCAGCCTGGGCTGCCATTGATGAGGTGTCTAGAGGCCTTCTGGTATAGGTGCCTAAAAGCTTAAAGTGCATTTAATTATTATTATTACTCAATGTCAGGCTACATAAATGAAAAGAGATAAAAAAGGATCGCTCGCAGCTACATTGCCTTGGTTTGTGATTTCATCACATCTCACAAACTAAGCAGGTTCGAGCTGGCACTTGGGGCATGAAGCCTCTGAGGAAATCCCATGGAACAAGAGATGCTGTTTCCACTGAGTTGAACGTTTCTTTACCTGTGGGGGTGGGTAGAGTCCTGCCATTCTCTGGTTTCCCTCTTGCTCCCCCTCCACATTTTGTTATTAAGCACCTTAGTGGCTGTCTGACTTACTCTGGGGAAGGGAAGCATATAGGCGAAATAGGGTTGTCTTTTTTTTTCTTTTTGGGACACCCGGTGATTTTCAGGGGTTACTCCTGGCTCTGCACTCAGGAGTTACTCCTGGTGATAGTCGGGAAACCATACGGGATGCTGGGAATTGAACCCAGGTTGACTGCATGCAAGGCTCTACCAGCTGTGCTATCGATCCAGCCCCTAGCGTTGTCTTAAAAGTGCATGATGGGGGCTGGAGTGATAGCACAGCGGGTAGGGCGTTTGCCTTGCATGCAGCTGACCTGGGTTCCATTTCCGGCATCCCATATGGTCCTCTGAGCACCTCCAGGGGTAATTCCTGAGTGCAGAGCCAGGAATAACCCCTGTGCATCACCAGGTGTGACCCAAAAATTAAAAAAAGTGCATGATGTGAAATGTGAGGAATCTTTGGTACCCAACAGCTCACCCATCCATCATCTATTCTTTGCCTGCAACACCAATGATGCTTTCAAACCAGGACCAGCACTGCGCTCCTCAGGGGAATGTGGGCATTTTGGGCAGGGAGGGCAGCTTTCCCACCTGAAAGCCAGCCAGAAGCAAGAGGCAGAGCAGGAGGCAGATGGGCCAAGTTCTGCCTCGTCCTCCTCCAGTCTATTTCATCGACAGGTCAGGCTGGAGCCAGATGGCTTGCCAAAGGGCGATATATTGGCAGACTGTACCTTGCTTCTTAGCATGAGACATTGGGCTGTTAGTGCTTGACATTGAATTAACCCTAGACAGTCAGCTCCGAGGTGACCTTCTTTTAGTCTCCTTGGATCAAGAAGAGGGCCTAATGCGGTTCGGACAGTCTTAAAAGTCTTCTAGCCTCTTCTCATTCCCAGCAGCTTTTGTTGATAACATCTCAGCTGAAAGCTCGAAAACCCTCCAGGAGAAGGAGCAAGGAAGGCCTGCAACTCCCTGGATGAATATAGTATTTGTATACTGTAGCACTGTCCTTCTGTTGTTCATTGATTTGCTTGGGTGGGCACCAGTAATGTCTCCATTGTGAGACTTGTTGTTACTGTTTTTGGCATATCGAATACGCCATGGGGAGCTTGCCAGGCTCTGCCATGCGGGTGGGATAATCTTGGTAGCTTGCCAGGCTCTCTGAGAGGGTCAGAAGGTCAGCAACATGCAAGGCAAAAAAAAAAAAGGCTGTGCTTTCACTTCAGCCCAAAAGAGTCAATTTGCATAATTTGATTTCCTCTCATAATTATTATATAATAACTTTCCAAAATTTGGATACAATAGGTGACTAGATTGCTCCTTTACATAGTACCTGGCTGTCAGAATTTATTGCAGTAACTTTTTCAGATGAGGACCTACCAGGAGCTAATTACTATCCATAGCAGTTAGCAGTTATTGACTGACATGTACCATCCCTGAGTGGTTTTAAACCTAAGAGTTTATTAAGCGTGGGGTCCGAGGGTCAGTGGGTTGGGTGTGTCCCAGCAGGGTTGCCAGATGCATCTGGGGCCTCTGTTGGTTGGTTGGCAGCCAGCTGGTCACCATCGTAGCTCCTTTCTCTGGCGGTGATCATGGGTTCCCCCCTATGTAAGGTGCCTCGGCAACCACTGACTCATATGGCAGGGGGTAAGAGTCCAAGTTACAGAAGATGGCTGGGAAAGGCTGGTGATTTCTTCACATTTTTTGTTTTTTGTTTTTTTTCAGTTTCCCATGAGCAACAGTTTGTAGTACTTCCAACTCCCGGGTGTGAGACCTTGCTTCTGAGATGCTGGAAGGGAACTTTTGGAGATGGAAATCCTGGCAGAGTCTGATTCTCCACTTTGCAGGGCTGTTTTCTCCCCTCAGAAAAGGGCACACTCAAATTTAGGGGGTGTGGGGGGTGGGGCAGAGGGCAGTTAGGACAGAGAAGGAACCAAGACTGCAGTAATAGTTGGAAACGATCATTCTGAACAAGAACTGAGTGCTGGAAGTAGGTAAAGGGATATGAATGATAATTTCAGTATCTGCAACGCAAGTCATAATGCTCAAAGGGGAGGGGGGAGGAGGAGGAGAGAGGGAGGGAGGGGGAAGGAGAGAGAGGGAGGGAGGGAGGGAGGGACCAGGGAGGACCTGCCATAAAGAGGGCAGGGCTGGAGGGAAACTGGGGACTATCCTGGTGGGAAATGTACACTGGTGAAGGGACAGGTATTGGACCATCCTATGACTATCTCAGGGTGATTAAAATTAAAAAAAATAATAAATAAATTAGCAAAAACAAAAGAAAAAGGAAAAAAAGAAAAGAGAAGGGCACGAACACCCATCTTACAGGGCAGCCTCAGAGACTGATCCACAAAACTGAGCTGGGGGTTGGACGTGGATGGGGCCGAGACTGCCCCGGGGGACGGGTGCCTCGTTGGACTAGGTGGCCGGGGAAACTGACCGCGACATCTCAATCAATACATAAATAAATAAATAAATAAATAAATAAATACATAAGCGCAGCTCCGAAGGCAATGCTGCCCCTACCCCCCGGGGGCGGGGGGGGGGGCGCTTCTGTCCAGCCGGCCCCTGACCGACCGCGGCCCGCGAGGCGCCTACTGTGTGCAGGGGTGGGCCGTGCGCGCCCCTGGGGGGAGGGGGGCGGCCCGGGCGCTCGGGCGCAGGGCCGGGACCCGCTGGGTGCGGGCAAGGGGCGAAGGCGGCCTCCGAGCGGGCGCGCGGGGCCCGGTGCCCGGGGCGGCGCGGGCGCGGGGCGCGGGGCGCGGCTCCTCCTCCCGGGCGGAGGCTGACGTGGAGCCGCGCGCGGAGGCTCGGCGGCGCCGGGGCCTGGCGGGGCTGCCCGGGAGGCCGGGCCGCGGGCGGACGGCGACCATGAACGGCGACCGGAGCGAGAGCGACTGGCAGGGGCTGGTGAGCGAGGTGAGGCCCGGGCCGGGGGCGCGCGGGGCCGCGGCGGGCGCGGGGTGGGAGGCGCCAAGCCCCACCCGGCCGGGGCTTCGGGGAGCCCGAGGATTGGCCGGCCCGGGCCCAAACGGAAACGGGGAGCCCGGGGGTGGGGGGACAACCCGGGTCCCAGGGTCGCCCCGCGCCGAGGCGGGCTGCCCTGCGGCCCAGTTTCGGGCGCTGGCGTTCCGGGGGGGCCCACCTCCCGCCCCACCGGCACCCCCGGGCCTGGGGCCTGCGCTCTTCTCGCACAGACCCTGTGCCTTCTGCACGTGTTCAGCATCGCAGACACGCTCCGTGACGTGCAGGGCGCGCCTCGCCACGAGCTGAGACACTTCTGCAAAAAGTCTGGAAGCCGGAGAAGACCCTGCTTCCCCCACCCCCACCCGGCCCTCAAATTTTTATTTTAATTTTTGTTTTGGGACACCGACCTCCGTGTGCATTCACTGCAGGACATTTTGGCTGCCCATCCTCAGTGGTTTGGGGATGGGAGGAGCCGACTGACTTGCCCAGCTGCAGAGTGTGTGTGTGTGTGTGTGTGTGTGTGTGTGTGTGTGTGTGTGTGATGCACTTGCCCTGAGGACCCGCCCTCCCCACCCTTGCCTATCCCTCCCCCCCTCCCTGGCTCCCCATTGACTCCTTAGAACCATCCCCACCCCCAAGACCAAACAAGCTACCGGTGCTTTACTCCTGGGCCAGAGTTCCCATATGTTCCTCGAGTCTCGCCTTTGGGAGTTGTTGGAAGGGAACCCCCTCTGTTCTCTTCCTCCTCGAATCACTCGCTGTGCTTTGCCGTCAGTTGGATAACGCAAAGCATGGTGTTTCCAAAGGGTTTTGAGATGTCCTGTCTTCTCCTCTGGTTTGGTTTGTCCAGTATTGGTTGATGGAGAGAACGCGCTCTCGGACTGTTTGGAATTGAAGATCTGTTGCACTGCAAGCTGTGCCCTGCTCCCCGTGCAGCCTTTGGACCCAGGGACATTTCTTCTCTTGGTCCCCGGGAAAATTATTCTCAGGGCGGGAGGGGTAACTGAGGTGGTAGAGTGTTATCTATGCAGCGTGCAACCCTGTAGATCTCGAAGCACTGCCGCGCTGGTCACCAATGCATCAGGTCTACCAAAGCCTCATTGGAAATAATCCTCTCTCCCTCAGCACTGAGAGGGTGGTCCCTATAAACAGAGATGAATCAAGTCCTTCAGTTAAGGAGGGTGAAGGGGGTTCTGCATCAAGTTCTGAAGCTGGGCTCAGAACAGCTGCAGAATAATTCCATTTCTAACATGCAATTTGACTGGATACTCTTAGGAGTCAGATACATTGCTTGGTAACCTGGTATCGTTGAAGATAGATTATCCCTCTGCCTCAAAGAACTGAATCAGAACTGAGGAGGAGACCCAGGCTATAAATCATAAGCACATACTAAAGAATGAAACGGAGGGGGCTCGGAGGATGGCTCAGAGAGCGGGAGCACATTCTTTGGTCCTTACCATATGGATCCAACCTAAGGTTTGATCCTTCTAGCCCTACAACTCTCTCCCCAGCACCAGATAGGTTGGCCCTGGTCAAAACCAAGGCCCACCCTGAGAAGCATTTCATTGGTCCCCGGGTCCCTGAGTGCTGCTGGCGGAGGAGCCCTATTTTCAAAAATGAACTGGAAAGGATGGAGCTGCCAAAGAAGGAAGTTGCTGGCCTGTGCCCTGATTGCCTCTTCCTGTGGGCCCTGCACTGACCACATTGAACTGAAGTCTTTTATTGAGCCCTCTATTCCCAGGGCTTGAACATTCAGTTCCATACACAGCAGATGCTCGATAAATGCAGATGAAAGAAGTCAAGATCCTGAAAGGAGTTGTCTTGCCGAGCCCAGTGGAGTTTCTCCTGAGTAATGCCTTCTTCCTCCCACAGACGTTCGTTAAAGGCCTAGACTGTGGAAAGCCTGCAGCAAGGGACCTGGGGGTGTGAAAATGAACTTGCTTCTGCCTTCATAATAACCAACAGCTATTTCTTGGGTCTGTCATTAATACTGAGCAACTTACCCAGCCTTGTTTTCACCATAGTGTGAGGTTGGAAATATTTCTGCATGTAGGGGAAAATGCAGGTTTCTGAGTTTCCTCCTGAATCCACTGTCATGGGTTAAATTGTGTATTCTTCCCACTCCTGCCACGGATAAAGAAAGAGTCCTGAGTCCTGACATAACCCCTCTTCCTCGGCCCCCGGTGGCTATGAATGTCACGCTATTTGGAAATATGTCTTTGCATATAGAATCCAGTTAAGAAATTCAAGCTGATCACATTTGGGAATTAGGCTAGACCCTCAGTCATATGACTGGCATTCGTAGAAAAGAATGCTAAAAAGAGTTGAGAGAGAACTTCTTCAGGGAGAAGGTGTGGGCAGATGCCAAGAGGAAGACCAAGGAAGACCAAAGCTTGAGAGTGGTTGCTAGAGCTGCATGGAGGCCAGGGTTAGAATCTTGACAAGAGAAACCATCAGCAGGGAAAGCAAGCTGGACTCAAGGAAGAACGTATCAGCTGGGAGTGTTTCAAAGCTGTTTGGGACCTTGTGGAAGCAATGCCCTGACTCTGTCCAGGGCAGGACAAGCCTTTGCAGAGATCATGTCTGTCTCTGTGGAATTTGTGGGTCTTCCTGCCTGGATTCACACTCCATTGCCCTTCCTGCCTGGAGCTCCTTGTTCTCTTTCAATCAGTTTGCTGCCTTGGCCTGCCTCTAGGAAACAGTTTTCATTTCAAATGATCCTACAGAGATCAGTTTTATTTTCATATTTTTAGTATAACAAGCTGAAATTACAGCCTCCTCTCAGGGCCCTGAAGTAAACAGGGCCATGCATGTGCAGAGAGCATGCCTTCTGTTTTATTTTGGAAATTAAATGTCTAGGGAGGGAGAAATGTTCTTCTTACCATTACCTGAGGTGATCTTTTCCAATCAAGGGGTAATCTTGAAATGCATCAGGGTAGACAGGGTAGACAATCGATAACTTTTTATTTCTAAGATAAAAAGTCCTGGTCATCTCGACCTACTGCCCTATGATAAAGTAAGCCTCATTCAGTTTCACTATTTGAGTTTTAGCAAATTAATTTGATAGCAGTCATTCTCTTATTCCTTGGACATATGGTATGAAATGGTTTAGAAGCAGATAGAAGAGAATTAATCCTGAGCATCTGCCCGAAATAGACCCACTGATCTTTGGAGGAGAGAGAGAGACAATCTCGTCACTGAGTCCAGCCTCATTATCAAGGGGGTCTTTGTTATTGACTGAGATATGGGGTAAGTTTTTCCTCTGCCTCTTTTTTGGTCAGAAACCCAACCTAGAGTCATTTGGCTCAGTGGGTAATGCTATAGATTGGATTGCATAACCTCAGTGATATGTTCAGGGGCTAAACCTTGCGTGAAACACAGAGGCAACAAGGCCATGTAATAACTGAAGTGGAGCCTTGGTTACATAACTCCCAGAAAATAGTAAGAGGCAAGGAGATTCTATCCCTAGAATCTGAGTAAGGAGTATGGTCCCATTCCACACCTTTACTTTGTGTTTTTAACCTCCAAGACTCTCAGAAAAGTCACTATTATATTGAGCTGCCTAGTTATGGCAAATTGCTCTGGCAGACAAATACAGCAGACAGTAGTTCCTTGGACACATTGTATGAGGTGGCCTAGATGCAGGTAGAGATGGTCTTGGATGCAGCCAGATCTAACTCAAATGGGAGCTTTCTCTCTATCCATGGGTCTGCTTGTGGACAGGTTTAAGTCTTGGGGGTTGAAGGTAAGACTGAAACTCTTATTTAGTAGGGCACACAGGACCTCCCATTTGAACCCTCATTTAAACCAGTCGCCTGCCCCAAGAGAAATCACTCAGGACGAAGCGATCTGACTGAGGCCTGGATTCATGTTCAGACTCGTCCAGGCACATGCGATAAGTGGGTGGGAGCCCTGGAACTAATTTTTAAGATCATTTTTGTATTGATAGAGTTTCTGTAAAGGTAAAGGTAAAGGTAAAGGCCCTCCCGTTGATCGTCGATTTGCTCGAGCGGGCCCAGTACCGTCTCCATTGGAGACTTTGTTGTTACTGTGTCTGGCATATCGAATACTCTCGGTAGCTTGCCGGGCTCTCCTAGAGGGGCGGAGGAATCGAACTCGGGTCGGCCATGTTGGCCGCTTGTAAAGCGAACGCCCTACCGCTGTGCTAGGTTCTGTAATTTACAATTGTTAATGATGGTTTTCCACATATGTAATTCCAACACCACACCCATCACCAGTTTACCCACCTCCCTCACTAAAGGACCTCAGTGCCCCTCACTTCCAACTTCTCTCCCAACTCGATTGTGTGGATCAGTTCTCCCATTGCATTGCATTCGATCCCGTGGTACTGCATTGTTTTAAGCCCTAGGGAATATATTTTGTTTGGCGGTGCTCAGGTGCTGCACCTCACTTGGTGCTCAGGACTTGCCAGCAGTGTTCAGAGGGCCAGATAGTGCCGAAATATTGAACCTGGGCCTTGAGCACGTGACACTGTAACCCTTTGAACAATTTCTGACCCAGAGGACTTTTTTTTTTTTCAGAAGGACAAAATGGGTGGTGAGAGACATTGCATGACTTTCCCGCACTTCTTTTCTCTCCCTTTAAAATAGGATCATAAAAGTTGCATTATAGGTGCTCTAATTGTGAGGATCAAGTGAAATTATGCTCATGAGTGCCCACACCTTTGCCTGACAAGCTGTGTTTAGTGGTCATGGTACAGAGAGAGTGGATTTTGGGGCACAATGCAGGTGTTCAAAAAATGAAAATGTGGGGCTGGAGCAATAGCACAGAGAGTAGGGCATTTGCCTTGCACACGGCCAACCTGGGTTCGATTCCCAGCATCCCATATGGTCCCCTGAGCACTGCCAGGAATAATTCCTGAGTGCAGAGCCAGGAGTAACCCCAGTACATTGCCAGGTGTGACCCAAAAGACAAAAAAAAAGAAAAAGAAA